TCTGAAGAAGCAGATGCTAATATTCTTTGGAGAAGAATATTAATGGTACCATGGACTGCCGGAAGAACAAACAAATCTGTGTTGGAAGATGTGCAGCTAGAATGCGCCTTAGAAGCCAAGATGGCCAGATTTTGTCTCTATCAGGAGGGACCAGTCCCTGGAGAAGGACATCATGTTTAGTAAAGTGGAAGGTCAATGAAAAAGAGGGAGACGCCCAACAAGGTGGATTGGCACAGTGGTAGCAGCAAAGTTTAGTAGCAATTGTGAGAATGGCGCAGGATCGGGTGGTGTTTCATTCTGTTGGGCATAGGCTTGCTATGGATTGGATCCGACTTGATGGCATCTAATAATAACAACAATGTTTTTTGGCTCTCCAAAAAATTAAAATGCTTTGAGCATCCTCAAAAAACTGTTGCCATGACCTTTGCTCTTGACTGCTCTGGTTTTACTTTGACTGGACTACTTTCACCACTTGGTAGCCATTACTTTGATTGTACTTTGTTTTCAGGATTGTATCGGTAATGCCATGCTTCATCTTCTGTTATAATTCTCCCAAGAAAACGACACGATCTTAATCCCAGTTGTTTAAAATTTGCATTGAAAGCTCTGTTGTCTGTAGCTACTCTGAGTGCAACAATTTTGGTTCTCATTGAGCAGAAAGTTTGCTCAACTTTACTTTTTCAGTTAGAATTGCGTTAGCTGAACAAACTGCGATGTCTAAGTGTTGCTATTGTTTCGGCTGGTTATCCTTGGTCCTTTTCAATTAAGGTGTGAACAAGACTAATTGTTTCCTTGCAAATGATGTGGATGGTCTGCTGCTAAGAGTTTCTTCTCCATTGTCTTGTCCCTTCTTAAAAAGACTCATCCATTTGTAAATTGCTGATTCTTTAGGGCATTAGCCCATAAACTTTTCATAAACCGTCAATGATCTCACAACTCTTCTATCCAAGCTTCACCATAAATTTGATGTTTGCTTTAATTTTAGCAGAATTCTTGTTGCTTTGGTGAGGGGAGGGAAGGTTCTTTTTGTCTTATCCTTCTTAGTGCCTCAAACTAGATTCTACTCTGACATACTATGGAGCTCTGGTAGCGTAGTGGTTACGAATCAGGCTGCGAACCGCAAGGTCAGCAGTTCGAAACTACCAGCTGTTCCACAGGAGAAAGATGAGGCGTGCTGCTCCTGTAAAGATTTACAGCTTCGGAAACCCTGTACAGGGTTGCTATGGGTTGGAACCGACTCAATGGCACTTAACAACAACAACAACAACAGCAACATAACAAGTTGGAGCCCTGGTATGGCACTGTGGGTTAATGCGTCAGACTGCAAAACCGATTGAACGGTAAGGATGGTGGTTCAAGCTCACCTGCTGCTCTTCGGAAACCCTGTACAGGGTTGCTATGGGTTGGAATCGACTCGATGGCACTTAACAACAACAACATAACAAATTGGTAGAGTTTATTCTGGTGTAAAAAGCTTTGGAAGTCCATGGATAGTTTTTTCATAATACACATTTCCCATGGACTTTATGAAGACCCCTTGAAAAATGCCATTTAAGAATGTAACTTGCCTTTGATAGTAAGTATAATGCATTTTGGAGTCCTGGTGTGGTGCTGTAGGTTAATGCACCCGACTACAAAGTCATTTGAACTGTAAGGTTGGCAGTTCAAGCTCACCAGCTGCTCCTTGGAAACCCTATACAGGGTCGCTATAGGTCAGAGCTGACTCAATGGCACTTAACAACAACAACATAATGTACTTTATAATTTCTTGTCTGTTGTGTAGAATGTTGTTGTTAACTACCTGATTCATAGTGACACTGCTGCACAATGGAATGAAATGCTGCCCCATCCTGTGCCACCCTATGATAGGTTGCAGATAGGACTGTTGTGATCCATGGAATTTTTATTGACTGATTTCAGATGTTGATTGTCAGGACTTTCTTCATAGTTCATCTTAGCTTGAAACTTTCTGCTGAAACCACCACTTACAAAAGGATGGGCTACACGTGTGGTGCACTGCGTAGGATTCAAACCCAGGTATTCTGCACAGAAGGCAAGAATTTTGCCACTGAACCACAAATGTTTCATAAATGAAGTGTTGGAATTCCCTTTTACACAAGAGGGATTGAGTTTCAAGGAGGTCTATGTGATCTCCAAAGATTACATAGCTCGTAAGGAGAAGAGCTGAGATTTGATCCTTTTATCCTTTGATCACCGATGAGGTTTTTTTTTTTTTTTTTTTTTTTTTTAACACTTACAAACCTTGACTATCTCATACTCAAAGTCAATTTTGGTTCTCATGGATTTGTTTTAATTTTCTTTAGCTTCAGCTTGAACTTGCATATGAACAATTCATGGTCTGTTTTCCACAGTTACCCCCTAACCTTCTTTTTTCTTTTTTCAAGTTTTTATTGTGAATTGAGTGAAAGTTTACAAGGCAGATCATCCATTTTTCATTCAACAAATCATACACATTGTTTCATGACAATGAGTATAATCCCTCCATGTACCATCATCGGTTTACTGTATTTCTCTCTGTTCACTTTAGCTCCTTTTTTTTTTTTTTTTTTAAAACACTCAGGCATATATAATAATTTACACCACCAAAGGACACATTCTGCAAGTCTGTCTCCTGGCCGCCAGCTCTTAGACCCTCTCT